AGAGGGAGAAGAGAGGGAGAGGAGAGGGAGAGAAGAGGGAGAGGAGAGGAGAGGAAAAGGAAAAGGAAAAAGAAGAGAAGAAAAAAGACCTTCTCCTTAGCATACCTGTAATTAAAATGAAATGTGTGTGATTCATTTCAAAATAAGGTGGGAAGAGGTGTATGGGAGAAAAAAAGAAATCTATGATTTGATATTTGTGAGAGCTGAGTAATGACAAGAAGGACTTTATTTAGCATTTTTCCCTGTTTTTCTATGTGTTACTATCTTCTCTAATAAAAACATTAAGATTTTAAGAAGAAAGATGACGCCAATTCACAAGTCACAGTATTCCAGGTGCTCTAAAAGCTTCGTTTTTGAAAATAAGGCAGATAGAAGGTATTTTCTGATGCTAACAAAATATTTGACTTTAAAGTATACAAAAACCTAAGCATAGTAGATCTGGTCCTTGCCTAAGAATGTAAGAATTTTTTACTTAGGATTCACTTTTTCTATAGCAGTGAGAAACAAAGCTATAAAACAGAAGTCACACACAAAGATATCTGGACACTGGAAACACAACAGGAGGGAAAAGAAATGGGAAAAAGAGTACAGTCCAGATGTGCTGATCAGGGCAGCTCGCCGAGCAGCCCAAGACAACTGCAGGCAACAAGGCAGACAACACGGGGTGACCTCCTACTGTTCATCCTGCCTGGGTCAGCTGAACTCCATTTCTGAGTGAAAATGTCTAACACAAAGTTTATACTGCTGATGGTTTCTGTGTTTTGGTTTTAATGTATCTTCATTTAAATTTTTTCTCTCATTACACAGTTGAACTTGGTTCTTTAAAAATGTGAAGAGCGGGGCTGGGGATTTAGCTCAGCAGCACAGTGCCTGCCTGGCAAGTGCAAGGTCGTGAGTTCGATTCCCGGTACCGGAAAAAACAAAACAAAACAAAAAATGTGAAGAGCATACCAAAATGCTCAGAATCTAAACAGAAAAATGAAGAACTAGGAAGACCCAACACCCTTTGCCCATATAAGATCACTGCTGTCTGTACTGGACATGTCTACTATGACAGCCATTGGCTGCTGAGCCCTAGCTTGAACAGTCCATTCTGATCCCACTGGCTCGCTTCCCACAGGGTTCAGAAATGGACACAGGTCCTAATCCACAGAGATGGAGGTTGCTGGAGTCTTTCTGGGGAAACTGTCTTAGTTCCCAAAGGAAAAAGAAGGAAGGCTTTTCTTCTCAAAACGTGCTGTATTCAATTTACTGTAAGACCTGTTACTATTTTATGTGCTTAAGAAAGGACAAATGTGGTCAACGAACTATAATCACATCAACGAATATATAATGAAGCCCAAATGCAGAGATGAAATGTGAATTTTAAAAAGCATCTCAGGATCAGTGAAATGCAGCCACGAGCCTTTGTGGGAAGCCAGCCCACTGAGGACAAGCGACTGCAAGAGGATCTCCAAAAAGTCCAGTGAGCAGGGTCTGGCTTGACAGGACAGCCAATTGTGGGATGTGAGCCACCACACTGAGCCAGGGGATGCCAGCAGAGCACCCTAAGTGATTTCCAGGTCAAAAAAGAGCCTCAGTAAATTGCTTGAAACACGAGAGGGGACAGGTCATGACACAACAAGGTTCCAACTGGAAAATACTAACCATTTGGATTCTTCTGAAGGAAAAGCTGGGTATTTTGTTTTGTTTTGGTCTGGATTTTTTGAGGCAAGTTCTCACTATGTAGCCTAGGCCTCAAACTCATGATCCTCCTGCCTCAGCCTCCTGAGTGCTGGAATTACAGGTGTGTGCCACTATGCCCAGAAGAAAAAGTTGTTTTTAGAATAAATCTTTTTACTTAAGATTAAGTGCAGGGCTTGAACCTAAGGTGCCATGCATGTAGTTCAGGCAATCTACCACTAATCTACAACCCCAGCTTAAAAATCCTTTTAAATAAATATACATGGTAACCAAATGTTAATCAGAGGACTGGGGATTTAGCTCAGAGGCACAGCGTCTGCCTGGCAAGAGCGAGGTAGTGAGTTCGATTCCCGGTACCAGAAAAAAAAAACAAATGTTCACCAGTAGGTGAACAGAAAAATTGTGATACAGGTATACCATGACTTATTCAGACTTTAAAAGGAAGGAAACTCTGACCCATGTTACAACATGTGAGACATTATGTTTGTGAAGTAAGCCAGTCACAAACAGCTAAGTAGTGCATGAGTCCACTGGTCTGGGGTACAGCAGCCCCACATGCAGAGAAAGGAAGCAGCTGGGGCAGGAGGGAGGAGAAGTTCCAGCTCACTGGGCACAGCTGCAGTCTTGTGACAGAGCTGTAGGTGTGGTGCATGGTGATGGGTGCATGACAGTAATGTATTTCATGTCACTGAACTATATGCTTAAAAATGGTTATGATAGCAAATTTTACATCCCCCATAGTTTACAGTTTGTTTGAAGTATAGGTGATCTGAAAAAGAAAGTATAAAGTTCCCTACAGCAACAACATTGCTAAGATGTTGCTTAACAGAATAAAAGGCGAGCAGAAAATAAAGAAATAAAAATCTATTAAAGAAGCTATTGAGATTTACCTGATGGCTAGGACCAACTCGAATTTCCCCCTGAGTACTGTTCAGCCTCCTGTGATGAAAAGAACAGATCAGGTTAGCACAGTATAGTTCTGACATTAATAATCACACATTTTTCAGGAACGTGATTCACTTCAAATGAACGAGGGCCAACTCAAAAGGAATTAACGTCGTTTCCCCATACACACTTAGTGCCCTAACACTCCTTCCTTCTATGTCCTCAAGGCTGCAGCCTCCCCTCCTGGGCATCTCCCTACCTCGCAGGGCTGGCCACTCCTACAGTGCAGTCCCATCAGGGAGATCTGCCTCTCCCAGTGCTTCAGGCACCCTCTCACAACGACAGTCATCAGACACAAAGCCAACAGGTGCTCCTGGGACTCACACTGGGCCACTCGTCAGCCACTCAGCCACCACACAACCACTGGTTCCTTACCTACTCTAAGCCAAGAACTGTCCTGGACGTAAGGAGCAAAGAACAAAACAGTGCTCTGCCTCTTAGCACTTCTATTCTAATTAGGGAAAGAGAAGTAACAGATCAGATGGTGACGAGTGCTTATAGATGAAGTCAATGGTAAATATTTTAAAACTAAGTATTTTTTCGGTACTGACAGGGATGACAAAACATTTTTATAATCCTCTCTAAAGGACAACAAGAAGAAGTGCTATTAGTAAACCAAAACATAGGGAAGTGAGGGAAGAGCCCAGAAGGCGTGTGGGGTGAAGGGGTTCAGCTCCCTTGGCTGCGCCATGCTCACTACACTGCCAAGACTCCCTCCCCTGCGCCAAATTCCAACCAGCTGGGCTCTGCTGAAAACCCACTGCTCCCAGGAAACCTTTCCCCTGCCCTGCTGCCGCACCCCACGTCTCCCCTCAGAGTGTGTGAGGTCCTCTTCCTCACTCATTCCTTCACAAACTACTTGCTTTTTTTGGTTCAAGGCCTTGCACAGGACACTAACTGAGTAGACACAGAAATCCTGCCCTCCACAGGGCTCTAGCAGCTGCAATCCAACTGTGTGCGCGCCACCTCAGAAAGACCCTTAACCTGGCCATCGATAAGCCACTGTTGTCTTATATGGCCCTACGAACTTCAGCAGTACCAAAGAAAAGGCTTTCAAATACTGAGACAGGTCCATGACTGCTTGTGCCTTGGACTGAGCTGAAGAACACAAGAAGAGGCAAGGATTCTGGTTTTCCTTCTGTGGATCTGATTCCCAACCCTATTACATTTGAAGTTGTTAAAATGAATTTTTTTCCCAGAGGCTACTGGGAATCAAACTCAGGACCTTGCGCTTGCCAGGCAGGTGCCTGTGCCACTGGGTTATATCCCCAGCCCCTATGAATTCTGGTTGGGTTTTTTTTGTTTGTTTGTTTGTTTTGTTTTTTCCGGTACTGGGAATTGAACTCATGACCTCGCACTTGCCGGGCAGGCGCTGTGCCGCTGAGCTAAATCCCCAGCACCCCCTATGAATTCTGAAAAACCACTCTTTCCTTTAGGGCCTTTGGGTCCAGTAGGGTTTTTTTCCCCTGTAATATAACCATTTTTCTCCTGAAGAGCTTCATTTTGGCAAAGGTGGACAGCAGGTGTGACAGAGCAGGAGAGGCGAGTAACAAAGGTAAGAGACAACACGTGGTCCCGTCCCTTAAGAATCTCTGCTGCCTCAGTGATAGGGGAGACGGCGCCTATCTCCTAAATACCAGAACAGGCATCACTATCCCCATAAACTTAGGGCATTTCAGGAAAAACAGTACAAAATACTAAAGAGTTTTGAAAATTCACAGGCTTTACACAGAGATGATCCCAGAAGCAGCACAATTCTAAAGAACTCTCTGAAGGTAACAAGAGCCCCAACAGCCAGGCCAAAGAGGACTAACCCCACCAAGGCGACAGGCTAAGAAGGGACTTGTAGCACTAGTAGGAGCACCAGACCAGTTTTCCTTGGTAGCAGAATGGCATGTGGGAAACAAATAGCACTGCAAAGCGAGGCACTGTTTCAGGAGCTAAGGAGAATCAAATTAGCCAGAAGCTATTACAAGCGTGAGTACTTTCCAGAAAGCAAGCAGTGTTAACCACTATTACCTTCCGATATGTCCACTTCTGTCTCTTACCTAGCTGCCCAAAGTTCTGGCCTTTATTTCCGAATACTTTTCAAATGCTTCCTTGTCTGTAAGTAGGACTTGCCAAAACACACCACCTCAGGAAGCTTCAACCATGGTCCAGCCTACAGTTCACCCTTTATATTCTTGTAGAAGGTCTGTATTAACTTAGCCTTTAGGAATGGTTGGTTATAAAAATCGTTCCACATCACTGTTATATACACTGTTAATATAACAAGCCATGAAAACAAAACCAACCCCCCAAAAAACAAAGAGAACTACTCATATCCCATTTATTTCTAATAGGAGGCAAATACTTAATACACTAGCCACGTGTGATGGTGCACGCCTGTAATCCAAGCACTCAGGACACTGAGGCAGGAGGATTGCAGTGAGTTTAAGGCCAGCCTGGGCTGCATCGTGAGTTCATAGCAAGGCCTTATACCAAAAACAAAACAAAACAAAAACTCCCAAAATAATTAATATATTAATAATGACAAAGTAAAACTCCCCCCAAAATTTGTAAGGGTGTGCTAAGATCCTAAGTTAGAAACTGTCTCTTTTTAAGTTTGTATCAAGGAAGAACACTAGTAAGATAGTAGGTAATAAACCATAAAATAATACAAGTCATCTTAAAAAACTTATGCCGGAGATATGGCTCAGTGGCACAGTGCCTGCTTGACAAGCTTGGTCAAGAGTTTGATTCCCAGTACCAGAAAAAAAAAACAAAAAAACCTTATTTAAAAATCAGCCTTTACAACAAAAATATTTTTAGACCATATGCAACTTTTAAATATTAGGGTTTCCAAGCAAGAGCTACAACAAACTCATTTTTTAGTAGCATTAGGATTCAAAGTATAGACAATGGCATTAGGTTACCCATAGCCAAGATAGAATATGGAATAAATGTTAGAAATATTTTTTAGATAAAAGATAATAAAAAAGCCAGACATGGTGGCACACGCCCGTAATCCCAACTCTCAGGAGGCTGAAACAGAAGGACTGCCATAAATTGCAGGCCAGTCTGGGCTTTGTAGTGAGTCCAAAGACAGTCTAGAATATACAGTGAGACCCTGTCTCAAAAAAAAACAAGATTATGAAGAGATGATAAAAATATACAGAAAGTAGAATTAGACAAAGCTGGATGCATCTGGCAAAATAAATAAAAAAGAATCTGTCTGAATATAAACTAAAGAGGTAAGGCAAGAAGCTGGAGGGAGACTGGTGCATCCAGCTCTATCAGAAATCCTATCACCCACCCATCAAATGCTCTTCACCTGCTGCCTTCACTGCCTGATGTGAGAAACTGATACACCAGGGGCCAGGGACAAGAGCCTGCAAGAGGCTGAGGGAGGGAGGCAGGCAGGGAGGAAGGGATACTTTGCTCTAATTTGGGTGTCTCCAACTCTGCCCACCCTGGAGATGTAAGCTTATAGAGATTTTCTTCCAGAATCTGGGTTCATGCCTGTCACTTTCTGTGCATTTAGGGCACATTAAACTTTCTTTGGCTGCGTGAACATTTCTAGACTACTAATAATCTGACAAAAATCACCAGTATCATGCTGGGCATGGTGATGCACACCTATAATCCCAGCACTTGGGAGGCTGAGGCAGGAGGACTGCCACAAGTTTGAGGCCAGCTTAGGCTACATAACGAATTCAAGGCCAGCCTGGATTATATTGCAAAGCCCTGTTTCAAACAAACAAACTACTATCAACAGCTTGTGGTAAACTAAATTCTTAATCATCATATGATGAAACTAGTACACTTTTTTCTCAACATGGCAATTCTCAAACCTTTAGTTCTCAGGACCCTTTCATACTCTAAATTGACAAGCATACCAAGGACTTGTATTTTGGAGAAATTTCAAAATATTTATTTAATTTAATAATTACTTATTTAATTTAAAACCAGCAACAAGCCCATTACATAATATCATGGATAACACGTTTATAAAAAGTAACTGTATTTACAACAACAGTGAAGTTGAACCTTGTGTCACATGCCTGGAATCCCAGCAAACTGGAAGGCTGAGCAAGAAGTTCCCATACTTGAGCCCAGTATGGACAACTTAGGAGACCCCACCTCAAAATAAAAACCAGGCTGGGAATGGAGTACAGTGTGAAGGTCTTGGCCTCAAAAAGAAAAAAAAAAAACAAAAACGAAAGCAGTCACTGTTGCTACAATTTTGCAAATAAATCTCATAAATATTTGACTTAACAAAAGTCAAATGGATTCTTCTATCTGCTGTTGCATTTGGTTTGTTGCAAAATGTTGTTCCGGTTAAAGTACATGAAGAAAAAGCCTCATATAGCTCTGTAAAGGGACAGAGGCAGACCACCTTAACAGCCTTTTGACACTACACCAAAACTTAACCAGAGGTAAGTTTCTTAAAGGATTGTACACAATGTGAATCTAAAACCTTCCCAATAATCATTTGGACTCTTACCCTGAGCCCATGGTTTGTTTTGACCTAAGGATGGACCGTCTACTAAGACATGATTCTGTGATGTCACACATTGGTTCTATGGAAAATGCTGGTTCACTAAGGTTTGTGGAACTTCCCAATATGGACACAGCTCATGATACAGTAATTTTAAAAAATCATATTAATAGCATCACCCATCTCATAAGAAAAACGTTCAAGCACAGAGAAGCTGTCAGGCTCAAGGTGGTGAGAACAGGTCTTGACGAGATCAGACACATTCGGGGTGTTATAGCCATAGACAGAGAACACGTTTTGAAAATGTGTAATTTCCGACTTTAATTCTGAGTCTTAGCGCTGGCAAACACTGGCAGCTGTTTGCCTTAACGGGCTCACAGCACTCACTGTCTAGAAGATGGTGCTGCGTCCCCATGTTTACATGACCAGCGTGCCTAGAAGCAGTGCTCAAAGGGAACAGGGGCTCCACAGAAACAGCTGCTGGCTCCTCACACTAGGCTTCTCAAGATGATCA